ACTTTTCTTTCCTCCCTAAAACTTTTCACCTGATATCTACCTTACTGATGCGGTGACACTATGACGGCGTATGTTACGAAGGCAACGGTGAGCAAACGCCTAAAACCTTCTCATATCCTCTATCTTTGATGGTCAGGTTTTGCAACCAAATAGACAATCGGATATCGTAGCGATATCTCAGATGACATAATTTGGTGAAAGCTAGTCGAGCCTTTTATTCCCATGTAGAGATTTCATCGGTCATTTGTATGTCTAATAGATTGAATAGTGATTTAGTATTGCTTACTATGGACAACACATTGGGTTTGTTTTAATGTCTTTAATTTTGATAACTGATGCTTATAGTTGTGAAGAGACTATCATTCTTTTGGTTTCAGTAATTGCTAAAAATTTCCAAATATTTGCAAAAATTCACCTGTATCGATAATGGTTAAATGAAACCCCCCTTAGATTGTTCGGAAAATAAAAAACTACCACCTGGAAACAAAATATTGTTCTTGTGTGTGTTATGAGTAACAAATGAGACTGTCAAATTAATAAGGCTGATATTTTTGAATTTATGATTTACTTTTTGAAATTCACTTGTAGGTTTATTAGTCTTACATTTATTGACGCATGTTTCCTTGTAATTCTTAGTCTTCATATCGCCTAGTATTTCACAAAATACTGAAGTACTTCATTTTTCTACACTGCTTTTCATCTATAAACTCGTTTAGCAGTCTACAATCGACTAAACCATTTCAAATTAGGATGCAGAAGATGTCCATCGCTTTCTAGTTATAAAAGCAATAATATTGGTAGTGGTATAGTGGGCGTTGGTGATCAGAATGGATATAAGTAGTTTATGTTGAGAGGGCAGCAGTAATCATAGGGAATTACCATCAATGGATAAAGATTCTGTCCAAAGAAACGCAAAAGACAACGCTGGCGTATGAAAAGCAAATCAACAGAGGCAGAAAAGCAGATGAAGTACATTTTGCAAATGACTGCCTTAGGGCAAGGTGTACCATATTTGATAACTGCTGTACATGTCAACGATAAACATTCCTTCCTTCATCTCAGTCTTCTTGTTTCCTACAGTAGTAGTAATAGTTGTAATAATTAATTTCGTGTAACATGGATTGCACGAATCGTATGCCAATTTTACAGAAAGGACTGAACTGTGATGTCTATAATAACATTCTCGGTGTTAATCGAGGTGCACATGTAATCCTTTACTTGCGCTATCAGTGTCTAGATGGCTAAGTGTGAAAGTGATGTCAGCCAATGATGTTCGCCTATTTGTTATTTATTAGCATATCTTTTCTGTGTCAGAAAGAGGGAAATGGAAAGTGTATTTTCCTTATTGATCGTATAACCTTTCTCATGTATTTATCTCTAAGCTTATTGATTATCTTTTCTCACTTACCGCATATGCTGTACCATTGTCATGAATTCGTTAGAAAAGGCACTCACACGTACAAAAGATTCTTATTTGTAATGGCCTTGCAGTGGCCTAGTGAATAACGCTTCGGCGTTTAAAATGATGAGTACTAGGTTCGAGTCTGAGTGGGAGTAACATCACTTACTGGTGTATAGGTATACCCAGGTAATGATTCCTGAATAAGACGAAACACGTGTTCTGATTTCCACCGTTATCCACCAGTGAGACTACAACAGATTTCATCTGATCACTTACAAACTCTCTTGCCCTCTACTGTTTTTTGTCTTCATTTTAGTACGGCTTTTTCCTACTTATATTTTGCTAGTGCATGTGTCTTTTTGTAGTAACTTGTACCGATTTAAAGCTATTTTTTGGTGTCAATCCATCGATTGAATAAATTATAGTGCACTTTTGATCGTGTGTGTGTGTGTGTGTGTGTCTGTGTTATTATTATCATTATGCCTTTGACTGCTGCTTCATTCCACCAGCTGATCCGGTATGCATCCCTTAACAATAACACAATTTTCTGTTACCGCATTTCACCTCATCCAGTGGAAATAATCAAAATGTCTATTATTGGTGGTATAATTTCTTGTTGCCTTATACATAAGTTGCTTCATCGTATTGTCAAGATTCTCTTCATTTTTTCATATAATCGGCTGATTTACTGTAAAAATAGCAAGTAGCACAAAGGACTTTTCGTCGATAATCAGGTTGTCGAAAGGAGAACGTCTGCTGATATGTCTTTTTTGTAAGGTTTAGTATTTTTATCTATACCGATTTAATTTTACAACAAAAAATCTCTGCTGCCCCATTGTTGTCTCTGCCTTTGATTCGGACAAAGATGTTATGGCCTTCAGTGTCCAAGGGGCGGGGGGGGGGGGTAATTTCATTCAGAACTTAAACGGTATGACGAGGATGGTAGGTGTCCCGGACCCAAAGCCGAAGATGGTGTTGTGGCGGACGTTGCTGTAGAGTTGAGTAAAGACGAAACATAAAAACGGATGGACGTATGTGAGGAAAGCGATCTGTGAGACTGCGTTGGTATGTCTGATGGTAGAGTTTCGCTGCTGGCAATGCATCAGTTCAGGTAAAATCTACCAGATAGTTGATGAGTATCATAGTGAACGTGTCGTTCAGTATACATGCAAATAGACAGGTAGCAGAGTTGGAGGTACTAAATCATCCTACATAGATGCACCCATTATCATGAAGCTGGTTAGGAAGTATGAAACAGATGAGCACCCATTAAGACTACTGTGATAAGGTGAAACACGGAATCTTCATGGTAAATCAGCGAATAATGTACTTTTTTTATAGCGTTCAGTCCCATCTCATTTATAAAGCGAAATCGAGAAACAAGTCGATGAAGTGTCAAACAACGGGATCAGTAAAGAGGCTGACAGCCAATACAGTTCACCAATCCTCCTAGTGAAAAAGACCCATCAGACAGTATAGATTCTGTGTTAATTTTAACTATACCAATTGTGATTTTTAGAAAACAACCTTTGCTGTTCCATTAAACTTCTCTCGAAGTTTTCTTGTTTTTGATAGTTGTTTCGGTAAGTCAGAGTGGGAGAGAGAGAGAGAAAAAAAAAACTAGTGTAGAACCACGCACACAAGTGTATCGGTTCAAGTTGCTACATTTCACAGTAGCATACGAAGAACAGGTGGATTGAAAAAAGGTGATATCAAAGCAGATAAAATAGTGTTGGAGAATAACCAATTTGAAGAATATAAAGGCTAGCAAAAACATTCAAGCTTGAGAAGATGTCAAGGAGTGAATACATCTGCACCACTGTGACCGATTTCCAACCATGTTTCCGAGAATCCTCAACCCCTGATTGTTGTTATGTCGGGGATCCTAGTCAGACAGTCTACATCTCCTCATCACATGGTTGAGACCAACAGTTAGGGATTTCATGGCTAGTGTCAGGTCTTGGTGTAACCATCGTGAAGCCTCGTCAAACTTATCCAGTAGTATTATCTGGTAGCATTGTGTGTAGAATTAGTCGGTGGGTTGGCATGTGCAGTACATGTTGAAATGATCTCAGTCAATCAAGGTTCACAACGTCACCAATCAACTTGCATGCCTTTTCTAGTACCCTTCGCCTGACATCAACATTGCTCACAGAGTGATTCCACCAGAGGCGAGCAGTGCTGCGAAAACACCTGTGATGAAAACCCTATAACCGCTTCATATCTTCTACTTTCAATGGCCATGTCACGCAGCTGTAAAACAGGATAGAATGGAATGGTCGGATATCTGGTTAGTTGGCGCCACAGATAACGTAAATTAGCAGATGCCAAACAGGCCTTCTGTTCTGATGCATTACTTGTGCAAGAGCGGATTAGAAACCGTTGCCATTTGTGTTCTGGAGGGGCTTTCTTCGATAAGAGTCACTAATAAAGTGATGGATTTCATTTGTGTTGTAAGTAAATACTGTTTCCTATGGTATGTAGGAATTATTTGCATATACCTCATGGTTTGTAGAAATTAATTACATATTCATCAAATAAGACTGTGTTGATGACTGATTTCTGTGTAGTGGGTTTGATGATAATAATTGGGGCGTGCGTATTCGGCTTTTGACATTGGTTTATTGACCTAATATATAGAATTTCCTCCCAGGAATCCTATGGTTATTACGAGTTTTAGCCAAATAAACTGCATTCGGTCAATCGATTTCCTACATATGGCCTAATGATGAGTAATTAACAATCTCCATTAATGAATCACACTCCTACAATAAATTTCTATAGGGAATGGGGTTAGGATAGTTTCTCTTCCATTTTTTAATTATGAGTCATCGTCTTAGGAACCATATTCTTTACAAGAAATTTCTACCTTGTGTATTTATGTCTGGTATACTAATTTCCTTGGCAACGGCCTTTTGTAAAGAAGAAAAATATACATATTTTGCAAATTTGACTGTTCCTTGTTCATGATGTGTTAACTGCAGCTTATAAGAAAAACGCCCTGTTTGTTTCGACTCGTTTAACCAATTGTAAACCACTTGAAATTATATATTAATGATGGATTGTAGTTAGTAGTACAATCCAGTACTACGTTTCGTCCTATTTAGGACTCGTCAACCGGATGTGCCTGCCTCTCAGCGAGCGATATTGTTCCCACTAGTTCTCGAACACAAGACCGATAGCTTCGTACACCCAAGCGTTATCCACTAGACTACCGAGTCACGATCGCCATCTCTTGTACGACCGGTGTAGTCTCAGTGTTAATACAATCAATAACATTATAATCATTGTGATTATCTGAGATAGCCGTGACTTGAGATGTCCTATGGTCTCTGCGGTCACACACTATCTCCTCTTTTTTTTGAGGCACCTCAACAAGAACTGGCTTTCCACTATGTGGGCAGCCGGAAAGTGTCAACCGCCCTCACCCTTCCAGTAGTACACAAAACCCAATTAAACACAACTTGTCCTCTCTCTCTCTCTCCCTGTCAACCACTTTCCAGTTTATCTTTTCCAGTTTACATTTCTATTTATTGAGCTGACAGGTTTACAGTAAGGTTTTGTTTTTCGTTACTTTTTCCTCTGTTGATTTACTTAGACATGATCAAGCAAAGCGGCATGTTCCATATCCAGTAAGCCCAAAACAAGGCTTTACAGACCTGCCTACATTTGATTCAGGTTCTACCAATTTTCAAATTAAACCGAAATATGAAAGTAAGCTGTTTTTTTTAAGTAAAATAGAATTTTCACTTTTCCGTAGATTGTTAGGATAAAGTTGTATCTTGAATCAATGTATATGATAGGTGTTTACCAATTTATGACATCTGTAGTGTCAGCGATAACGAAATTGTAGTTGGAGGCCGCTTGAACTGTTCCCTACAGTGTTCCTTCCATAGTTTAAGACATCTTCCTGAAAATGAATCTCATCCTTCGCCACTATAGTCTCTATGACCAATAGCATTTTTACTGCAGTTTCCTTAATAAGTAGAAATAACTGTTTTTTGTCACCTATCACGGCTGCCTTTTTTATCTCTCTAGCCTTCCCCACTCATCTTCGTTCACTATCATAGTGAAGACTTTTTGTCAGCCTACATTTTAGTTACTTCTGCTCCTCATTCTGCTTAAACCTACAGAAAGGTATTCGCGTTAATCCGTTTATTCAGAAGAAGCTTCTGAGATAAGTTGGTCCCTTTTAATCACTTTGTAAGTATAAGTTACAGCCTTTAACGCTGTTTTACAGCAGACTGGGGATGGCGCCGCCCCTTTTCCGGATGAGTGACGTTGTTCTGTTTCAATTGCTGTCTAGCTATTTCCTCATTGAAAGTAGCCTTAATATTTTAATCGTTGAGCTGCGCTTGCGATGTTCTTGCTGCTGTTGTTTTCTTATGTCCATCCGGGTGCAGACATATGCGTGCTCGAGTCAACGCTTGTTCACTATCCGAACATGCGCTCCGAAAGGAGTGGGAGTCTTTCGTCAACCCTATTCAACGATAGCAATATATTCTGTCTCTGTCCAGTTGGGGTCGTTGCTACCGCGTCAGACGACGTCACTCTTTATATCTCAAGTTTGTTCTTGCGAGAATTAAATGGTCGCGTTAGCACAGATGTATCAGGTGATCGCCGTTATCTGTTTGTTCGTCTGGGATTCTGAAGGTAACACTTAAATGCCTTTCTGTCTGATCTTGGTCTACTCGCTTTTGCATTGAAACCACCTACTATGGCAACCACGTCTGAACATTTGACTTTAGACTAGACAGTTTTAGTAAAACTTCTCCTTCACCTCATCCGAGCTGCATTCAGTAGGTTTGTAAAGAGAGATTATAACGAGACAATAATAAGTTTCATTGTTCCTTCATAGTCCTCGCTGTACTGTCCAGATGAACAGCGCACATATGACTGCCAATGGGGATTCAGTCGAGCAGTGCACCTCAGGTTTTAATGTTATACCTACACCGGCAATACAATTGCATGTCCAGACCTTAGAACGGTGAATTTGGTAGATTCACCATTTTGGTCCGGTGACGTTATGTGGATAACCGCATTTGGGTTCTGTCTGTGTGTCTCACTAACGTAGCACAGATCCATGACCCGAGATACCGGAGTTTTCGGTCATCTAAGCTTATTGGCTGACTTGATGAAAGGTGCGAACATTGAAAGCTTCAATATTTTATTTGGAGCACGATTTTGAGTGACAGGGATGCTGTGTGTTGAATGCGAGTTGTTGTAAAAGGCTGCAGAGCTTGAAGAAATGATAGGCGATGTATGATTATTAGCAAACAGACGCTTAGAAAGATTTAGACACGTTGGAAGGTTGCTTCTTCATGGGGTACTTACAAAAATGATTTAGGAATAGTGATCCATGATCTCTGAGCCCACGAAATACTTGCTTTAGGTCAATCAAACACGATTTTTCGGAAGTTCAAGTTTGTTTGTTTGAAAAATCCAGCTGTATGTCCATACCCAGCACTAGTTATTTTGGAGCCAACCCTTTTTAACCCCTTCTGAAGGCAGCATCAGCATAGACTGTTGATCATTCTGAGGTAACATTTTACTTCTATCACATCCCTGTTCAGCCAGCATTATGACTCGGTCCTTGGACTCCCATCATGACGTCGCAATTTACACCATAACAGTAACTGTTTTTTGTCTTACTGCTATATAAATAACTTTTATGGTATCGTTGAGAGAATAAGTGTCCACGTCAGCATAGCTCATTGAGTCATTTTGAAATGCAGGCCCAACATCACATCAACTTGGTTGCTGTTAGTCGAGATATCCATGAATGCACAAAGTTATTGTTCGGATGCTAGAAACTTTTGTGCACTGGTATTCTGAAGTAATTCCTATGAACTTTATAAAGGTGTAATTTGTTATCCCAGACATAGTCAGTTGAATTTCTGTGAACTGGCAAGCTTATTGAGTGCATTGTATTGCATTTGCTTGTCGTATACTGTGTAAGACATCGAATTTCTTCATCTCTGTCTCTAACCGACATAGGGTGTGCATAGCCCACTGACAGAGAGGTAACTTGTTTCATCGGCTATTAATTTCATTCGTTTATTTTGTATATAGCACATGTTAATAAGTACTTCAGAAAGGACACCAAAGTTTTCATCTACGTATTTGTTCACATAGGATTCATCATCATCATCAATATCAACACAGTACCAGGCATTAATGAGTAACGGTCCGAGTTGCCACAGCTCATATCAGTACATCAAGTAGAAAGGTAGTGAGGCGCAAGATGAAGATAAGAAAATTCAGTCAAAAGAAATATAAGGTACCAAAAGAAAGAAAGGAAGAATGAGAAAGTGGTGAGATTCGGTACAGCGTCGTTGAGATGAGGATAATGTGTATATACATCTGCTCAACTGACATTATCGGTTCTCAGCCATGTGATCACCTGGAGTCAGTCTCCAACCACTGGTTTCTCTTGTCTCGTCGACACCAACCACCTAGTCTGCATCACCCCACATGGCTCAAACCAACAGTCAAAGACTTCATATATTGGTGCCATGTTTCAGTCTGGCAGCCTCGGGCCTATTTCCAGCCTGAACTTACTTCGCGCAACATTGTGTGACGAGGCAATCGGTGATTAGGTATAGATAACACGTGTCGGAACCTAACATCTCAGTCGATGAAGGTTCATAACCTCGTCAACTGACTTGCCTCTTCTCCCTAAAAATCTACACCTGACTTCCGCATTACTCAAGTGATGACACCACGAATACGGCCTATACTACGAAGGTGACGGTTGTCAAACACCTGAAGCCTTTTCATATCTTTCACCTTTGATGGCCATGTTTCACAGCCATAAAGTAGAACAGAGCGGACTGCTGTGCAGTACAAGCAACCCTTAATAGACAATCGGATGGATATCACGGTGGTGCCATAGGTGGCGTAAGAGTTGGCAAAAGCCAGCCGAAACTTTTGTATCCGTGCGGATATTTCATCGGCCAATGAGCCATCAGGGTAGGACTGATCTTACTTCCCAAGTGGTCGACACACTCATTCACTACAATCTCTAATGTTAGCTACGATGAGGCACCGTTGAAGACCAATCCTGGAGCAACAATTTGCATTTTGGTGGTGAGAAATGCAAACATTCCTAAACATTCTCGAATTGCCACTCAGTGTTCAGAATACTCTGCATCTTGTCAGCGTCTTTACTTAACAGGACTGTGTTATCTACGTGCTCCAGGTCTAGCGAAAATTCTCCCACGATCGGGTCAACCTGTGTGAAGTCATATGATGAAAGGGAGACCTCCATAAGAATATCTATGATAAAGTTGAATAAGAATGGAGACAGTGGGGACGCTTGACGGACACTACTCGATGAGCACAGCTCCCCGAACATTTCATCATAGGCTCTAACACATCCACAGGTGTTCAAGTAGATAGTCTTCAATAAGGTGATATACTTACTCGGCACGCCTTTCAGTGAGAGACATTGCCATAAGATCTCTCGACCAACGGAGTGGAATGCCGCCTTCAGATCGAGAGATACAGCTATTTTCGGGTGTCGGTAAGCGTGTCTATGTTCGAGGACCTGGCGCAGTGTGAATATTTGGCCGATACACCTGCAGCTGGGTCTAAAGCCTGCCTGCCTGGTTTTCTCGAGCTTGCTGTTCCCGAGCTCTACTCAGGCGTCGGAGAACTATAGAATCTAGGGTCTTTGACGCTATGTTCGGCAGGCTGATTCCTCTGTGGTTATCACAAGAGGACTTCTCGCCTTTCTTGAGCACTCGGGTAATCAGTGATTTAGATTTATCAGAAGGGGTCGTATTCGATTTCCATATACTGGTTGATACTTGCGTTAGGCTGACTAAGAGCACCTTACCACCATCCTTGTATACCTGAGGAGTTAATCCGTCTTGTCCTCCCGCTCTTCTTATATAGGATTCGGTTTTCTGTAATAATTCGGGATCCTTCAAATTTGCACATCTGCAGTCCCATATGATACCGAACTCAAGAATTAATTGTCTTTTCGGCGAGCATTTCGCTACTTTTCATTACCACATGATGTGTTCATGTTTTTAGTCGTATGAGAATTATACGTCACTCACACAGGCTTCCGACTTTTAAATACTAAATCTAGGGTTCAAACTCCACTTCAACTACTCCAAGTGTCATTAATGTTCACATATGAAGTATAGTTGATTGTTTAGCAAATAAAAGTGAACTATGCTGCTGAGTTGCATTTTGTGATGCATTCCTTCGTATGGTTACAGGCACTTAGCAGTAATCTGTATATATATGTATATATCCCTAGACTTTTTGGGTTACTAAATAAACAATGGAAATGTCAATCAACTTTCCATCTTTTTTGTTTCTTAATTGTAGATCAATCGAAACAAACACCTACATGTGTAGCACTTTATGATTTTGATGCTGAAAGTCCCTTTGAATTGTCGTTTCATGAAGGCGAGGAGATCAAGTTAATTGAGCAGGTAAATACTTGAGATTAGTTAGTTTTCACTATGATTAAAATTAGCTAAAGAACTATTAAAGTCCTGAGAGGATTAGGCAGCTATTTTAGACTAGTTTAGAACCCCTTAGCAGTGTGGATACACGATCACCTAATTTTCCAACCCCCAGAGCAGCCTTGTCTCGTGGTGTGAGCACATTAAGATTGAGCTACTTGATTAGAATTCAGTGGTCTAAGTTTTCCAACTTCCGTGAGTTCACCATATAGTGTATCAGTATCCTTCATCTGACCGGAATAGCGTGGTTAACTTTCAAATAATATTTCGAATTCACATCCTAGTAAAAATATTTATGTTACATTTAAAGTTGATTAGGAATTTTATAGTTATAGTTCTAGAGGAGTTATGAGGTCTAGCGGATAAAGCTTTGGCGTTTGAAGCGGTGTGCACGAGGTTCGAGTCTCAGTGGGAATAACATCATTTTCGGGGTGCAGGTACACCCATCTGATGAGTCACAAAAGAACGAAATACACGTTCTGGGTTCCACTGTTAATCACTAATATGAATACAACACGCTACATCTAGTTTACTCTGTTGCTGTTAGAAACCTAAACTTGGCAGCAGACTTCATCAGTTACAGAAATGCCACTCGGCGGAGACTTCGATAATGTGATTGGTATATGGAAATATTTATGAAGCAATTTAGTTGTCCTACTGTGCACTACAGTTATCGGTAGTTCTCATCTCATCAGTTCGACTTGTTTAATGTTAGCGTAAACAAGTCACTTTTATCATTCATGATAGAGTTTATCAGCCCAAAAGAACTGGAATGTAGAAAAATGACTGGTAGTGGCTTGGTAATGTAAAAAATTGGTTGAACAAATTTTAAATTACGCCTAGAATTGCCTTGACAAAATGTTATGGTAACTTTATATATACTGATAGAAGCTCCATCTAGTAAGTTACCTGTTCATTGTAAAGCATACAATACTTTGTGTTCTTTTCATTTTTTTAAACAGGTTGATGAAAATTGGTACTTAGGTGAACTGAGGGACAAGAAGGTCATTTTCCAACCAATTATGTTCGTGTTTTATGCCCGTTACCGTGAGATTTATTTCAGTCAATCGAGTTTACTCGTCTACTGGTGTTTTTTTCCAGTTTACACACATCTCTCTCTCTACTCAGCTAATTACTTCAGCAATACTACAGTGAAAGAGTTTGTGCCTTTTATGTTGTTGTTATGACATTTGTTTTTTTCGATAAGTATACATACATACAGATATACATACATGCAAACTTACACTCTTATACAGATAAAACTTAATATATATCTTCATAATAACAACGAAAGCCGAATAATAGTTCACGGAGTGGTAATTTTCTTCACTTCTTCTTGCCTTCTCATTGGTCTTCCATGATCGCCTTTTTGTGCCTGAATCATTGTTATTATTTTGCCAAGTATGATGATACGCAGCTGTCATTCTTTATGGGTAGTTTTATTGCGTTATGTGCATTATTTACTGTGTGCAATGTTTCTTGTTTTCTCGCCTTCCATTACAGTTATTCATTTGTGCACAGTGTTTTGTATCTGATAGCTATATTCTTCTCAAATGGTGTATGTGTACATGTATAATGCTACAAATATTATTTTGATCCACTTATGTTGATTGGTTGATTTCTGTTTTAAAGAGTGGAGAATATAACAAAATGTAATAACTTTGACATGTATTTACACTTTGTTTTAATGATATATCATTCAGTATGTACTATTTTATTCAGAGATTGATTATTGAGTACATGAACTATTACATCATACATTTTGTTTATTTAGTTTCTGCTTACCTGAAAGTTTTATGCTGAATGAAGCGAAAAATAGATATTTTTTTCCCAAATCTTCGTTCGTAGGACAGGTTCTTTTCATACATTTGTGCGTGTGTGTTGCAAAAAGTCAGTATTTAAAGCATTATTATTATTATTATTTGTCCCTTGGGTTCCATATGGAACATAGGTCTTCAGTAGCACGTCTCCAATGCGCTCTGTTCTCTGAAATCTTTTGAACCTGGTTCCACGACAGCCCAGAAGCTCTCATTTCCTCCTCGCACGATCTCCTCCATTTCACCCTCACCTCCCACGGCCAACTCGTCGCTTCTCATCGGAGTTCCACTTGAGGGCCTGACGCGTGATGTCCCCAGTCGGCCTTCTCAGTGTATGCCCAACCCATCTCCAATTTCTTCTGCATATTTGTTGTGTGATAGGTCCATGGTTGGTTCGTTCCTAGAGTTCCTTGCTGCTTATTATTTCCGGTCATATGATCTTCAGTAGCGAGTGTAGGCAGTTGTTGATGAATGTCTGCAGTTTGTTGGAAATCCCTTTCGTAACGCGCCAAGTCGCTGAGCCATACAGAAGCAGTGATTTGACGTAGGTGTTGAAAATCCGGATGTTGTTCACACTTTATGCTGAGTGCAGAAGGTCTCCACACTGGTTTCATGCAAATAAACGCATGTCTTGCTTTTCCGATTCTGACATTGACATCAACATAACCAACGCCTATGCTTGAAACAGTGCTCCCTAGATAGGTGGAAGAGGCTACTTCCATTAGGTTTCTCCCATTGATGGTGATCGGAGTTTGTTGTTGTTGTTGGTGGTGGTGGCTGTGCCGTTGGTTGGGTATTTGATCAACTCTTCCTCTGTCTTCAATATATTCACATAAAGGAAGTCCCTTCTTCGCTGCCTCATCTGACAACTTGTTAGTTTTCGCCTGTAGATCTTCAAGTTTGTGTGGCATCAGACACAAGTCATTGGCAAAAACCAAGCCTTCTAGGATCTTTACCCCAGTCCAGCCAGCGTATCCCCCTCTTCGAGCTCCTCACTATTTTTTGCACGATCCAGTCAATCACAATCAAGATCATGGGTGATAGTAGACAGCAGCCATGTTTTACTGCTGTCTTCACTTCCACTTCAAAGGCATCACTGAGCTTCCCATTGTGAATCACTTGGCTGGCATATGACGTCTTCATATAGTTGTTGAATGAGGCTGATAAAGGTTTGCGGTATTCCGTAGTATTGAAGCAGTTTCCAAATTACCTCTCGGTCGACGCTGTCAAAGGCCTTCTCAAAGTCAACAAAGTTAAGGTGAGGTAGAGAGTCGACTGCTATTCTATACTCTGTTCTATGATGATGCGAATCGTAGCAATTTAGTCCTCATATGGTTTGTACTTCCTGAAGCCAGCCAGCCGGCCTGTTCCCGTCGTAGTTTTGAATCCAGTGCATCCTCTAGTCTCTCCAAGATGATGCGGGTTGAGATTTTGCTTGCTTTGGGTGGACAGGAGCGTGATTCCACACCAGTTCTTGCAAATACTGAGGTCTCCCTTTTTCGGGAGTTTGACAAGGTAACCCTTCTTCCAATCAATTCACAGGTACCTTCCCTTCCTTCCTTCCACACCTTCTGCAATAGTGGTGTGAGCATGATCGGTGTTGTCCCTGCATCTGTTCTCAGTGCTTCTAGCACGATTCCATCTGGTCCTGCTACTTTCCCACATCTCAGTAGCTTTATGACATCCAGGACTTGGACTTTCGAAGGAGGATTTGTGTTCACTGGTAGTTCTGTGGCTGGGCTGTAGGTGTTATTTGTGGACAAAGTGCAGGTGGTGGTGGTGGTAGTCGATTCATGAGCTTCTTGAAGTGGTCAGTCCATCGTTTCCTTTGTTTCTTTTCTTTGGTAATTAGATTTCCTTCATCATCTTTCACTGGTTTCATCTTTGTTGATCTCTTCGCAGACAGTAAGTAACCTGGTTATTTGATACAATGTTGTCAGGTCTCTGCTACCAGCAGCCTGTTCTGCTTCAATTTCAAGTGTGTCGTAGAAGTGTCTTTTGTCTTTGCGTGCACTCTTCTTCACTCCTTTGTCCACTGTTTTATACATTGTACTCAGTTCGTCTTCTCGTCGTTCATCCTTGCACTGGTTCATCTGCTTCACCATCACCACCTTCCTCTCCCTCCTCTATCAACTTCCATATGTCCATCGAGATCAGTTCCTTGTCTTCTTTCTTCTTCCTTCCTAATACTGTTGTGCAGGTTTCTTTCCACATAGCTTTCAAAGACTTCCAGTGTTATTCCACACAGCTTTCTTCAGGGATGTTGCTCAATATCTCCCATTTTGTTTTGATGGCTGACTGATGTGAAGATTTTCTTTGTAGTTTCGTCCTTCAGTTTCCGAGTGTTGTACTTGAATTGAGGTCTATCACCAGCTTCCTTGAAGGCTTTCAACTTGATTAGGAAGGTTCCTTGCACTAGATAGTGGTGTGAACCTACATCTGCTCCTCTTCTTGACCTTGTGTTAAGTAGACTGCGTCTCCATTTTCTTGAGATTGAGATAAAGTCGATCTGATGTTTAGTGTGTCCTGGTGTCTCGTGAAATCCATGTCGCTGACTTTTGGATATCCTTGTGCTTGAACACAGTACCTCCAATCTCCAATTCGTTGAATGCGCAGAATTCTGCAAACAATTCTCCATTCTCATTCATCACCTCACCCAGCGCTTCTCGACCCATGATGAGTTCTCTTCCTGTGTTGTCCCCTCCCAGTTTGGCATTCATCTCACTTCACCCATTAGAATGAACTTTGATGTCTCCACCTGAGGTCTTGTCCAGTGTTGTTCGCAGTTGTCATGATCCTGATCGTGATGCTGGAGGAGATTGCTTCCCACTGCATCAGACAGAGTCTTTGATGCTGTTGGGGATATCTTGATAGCCACTCAAGAACTCAGTGTGCTCGTGGTTGTCATGTTGTCTGGGTGACAATATCGGAGTAGATTATAGACTCTCTATTCGACATTTTGGAGAGTCCACTTCCATTCCATCTGCTTTCGCGAATTCCAAGCACTTCATTGTGATACCTCCTCATCTCGTTTGCAATCTGGCCAGCCTTGCTAGGTTCAAACATGGTGCAGACATTTCATGTCCCCAAGTTTACTTTCGCTTTCATCCAGGGAAGACACATCGACCTATTGGCTTGTTGAAGGCTTTCACCAATCGGCGTCATTTCGCCTCTCCGATTACAGCGAGGAATAATTTTGTTTTAATTTTAGATTTTTTGTGCTTTGAAGTTTATTTAGCGGTTGGATTGGTTTTACGGGGTAGGGTTGCTAGCCATATGCCTAACCTTCTCTCTTTACCCGGGCTTAGGACTGGCTAGTAACTAGTGAACTAGTTAACCAGGCGAGGTTATTTAAAGCATCATAGTATGTCTTTTTTAGCTACTGGATGGTGAAAAGTTCCTTTCTAGTGTTACGTCTTATAACCAAAGATAGGTAAGGGAGGGGGGGGGGTGAGGGGAGTACAAAACTTGGTTGTATTGTGTTCTTTTAGCTGGGTTGTATATTCGTGGGGTTTTCATCATCTTTCTAGACGACATCATCACATCTGACTTCAGTATGAAGTGAGCTGTGAATGATTCAGCAGCTTACCCTGACGAAATCGGTTTGTAATGGGTCGTTTCCTTTGCTTGTTGATTGCTAATTGGCCACAAAGATTTCCCTGTTGACTGTTCCCTTGCTTGACCTCTGACCTTGTGTTCTCTATCATTTTACTGATTGATTAATAGATCGGATCTACGTCTATACATCTCTTGAATGCTGAATGTCAAGCTTCTAGGAATTCTTTGATATTCATTAAATTTCCAATGTACAAGATTTCTTCATTGTCGAAATCGAATTCATGTTCGTAAACGTCCACGTAAACTGAAATGAGTGACGAAATGTGGTGACGTTTAATAGCCAATTAGAAGGAGAGTACAAAACTTCAAAAATAGCCATAAACATTTGTATAACTGGATTTTTTTCGATTATCCATATCATATTATCCATAACATCGCCTAATTAACTAGTTCACTAGTTACTAGCCGGTCCTAAGCCCGGATAAAGAGAAAAGCTTAGGCATATGACTAGCAACCCTGCCCCGTAAAACCAACCCAATCGCTAAAACAACTTCAAAGCACAGAGAAAATATAAAAGCTGAAAATAAACTTATTCCTCGCTGTAATCGGAGAGGCGAAATGACGCCGGTTGGGAAAATAATAACAATAATAATCTGTTAGATTTGATAAAATAAAGTCCGATTAAAAACGTCCTTACATACATGCTTAAATGCAATTATAGATTTCAAATAACTGCTTAAAAGAGGAAAAGATAATGCTGCACGTAAATCCTATTCAATTATGTAAGAGACAGATGCACTTACTGCACATCCTATAAACTGGATAACGAGAAATAAAGGTGGAGATCAGCACAAAACAAATGTACCGATATTATGGTATCATAATCACTTGCACCTTGGGTTCCTGGTGGAACATAGAACTTCAGTAGCACGTCACCATCTCACTCTCTTCTATACAGTCTTGCGAACCTACCCACACGACTGCCCACAAGCTTTCGTTTATTCCTCACACCATCTCCTCAATGTAACCCTCACCTCCAACGCCCAACTCGTCGTTTCCCACTGGGACTACACTCCATGGTCTGTCCCGTCTGGTACGTGAGGTCCACAAATGGTCTTGTCAGTGTGTGCCCGATCCAATCCATCTCCACTTCCTTCTGCATATTTGTTAGGTGATGGGTTGTTGGTTGGTCGGTTGGTTGGCAGTCAGCCAGAGTGAGTTCCTTGTTGCTTATTCTTATTAGTCTGACAATCCATCTGATCTTCAGTGTCAGTATGGAGTGAGCGAGCGAGCGAGCGTAGGTAGCAGCTGTTCATGTGATGTATGTCTGTAGTTTGTTGGAAATGCACTTCGTAATGGACTGCCAAGTCTCTCAACCATCACATAGAATCACTGAATTAGTAGTGTTGACAATCCGGAACTTGTTCACACACGCTTTATGCTAATTGCAGTGGAGTGGAGTGGAGTGCAGTGGAGTGCAGTAGATATCTTGACACTGACTTCAGATTAATGTGGGAGGCCTGTCTTGCTGTCTTTCCGATCGTGGCTG